AAAACCCCCCCCCCCCCGAAAAAAAAAAGAGAGAGAGAGAGAGAGAGGACACCAGCGGCTCTCCTCACTATGAATGAACACCACGCTGCCAGGTCTGGACTTCCCCGTGTATCTCCACCCCGAGCAGCTACATCTGTTCCCAGATGGAGGTGGAAGGGTGAGGTTCTGGCAGCAAACCAGACTTCTGAAAGATTCTGAGCAAGACGGCCCAGGAAAGCTAGAAGCGAAGTGGGGAAAGAGCAGGCTTCTCTCTGCGTGCTGTCGCTTAGAGGCCTGCTGTCCTCTTCACAACTCCTGGTCCTGCCCTAAGTCCTACCTGCTACATTGCTGGGATCAAAAGATGGAACTAGATGTCCTCTGGGTCATTTCTTAGCGGCACTTCCTCTATGACCAAGGAAGTTCAAGCCTAAGGTCCGACCTTGAAAAGCTCTTTTCTTCCTCCGGTGGGACAATAAAGAGGGGCAGAGGCAGAGTGCTCTTGCTGCCTAAAGTTAACCTTTCAATTCAGCACGAAGTGCTGAGGAAGACAGGCTCAAATCAGGATTACTTCTTGTGGGGGGTTACAGGCAACCTCCATGGCGAAACGACTCCCTAGACACGAGCCTCTTCTCCTCCACCACCGAGAAGGGCGTACAGTCTTAAGGCCAGCCTTGCTTTCTCCTAAGGGGCTCCAGAACTTAAGATTTTGATCTAAATTGGCTGGAACCTTCCATCTGGAAAAGCTGTTTTACTACGCTGTTGGTACGTTCACCGGTGAGTTCACCGACTCATAATAAGCGAATCCTACTTATTCCAGGCCAGAATCTGCGTCCTCTGACTCAGCGATGAACAGAATCCTCACATCTGGCCTGGATGGAGTGTGTGGCAGGCCGGGCAACAGATGAAAATGGTGATGACCCTGACAAAACGACAATGTTGCTAGTTTTGCATCCTTTTGAGCCTATGTCTTGGGCTTTAAATGCCTTTTTTGGTGTTGCCTGATAATAAGACAAGGCAGTGCTGGGATGAAGAACTGAGAATGGAGATCAAAGGGCGCCTAGAGCCACTGAACAACTGACTGCCCTCTCCGTCTTCTAGAACCCAACTGTACTTGTTAGGTCAAAAGTGTGCTCTTCTTTAAATAGAGCTCTTCCTAGTCTGCTGGGGTTTTTTTTGTTTTTAAATTAATCCCCTTCTCCTTCAGTTCTCCCTCCGTCTGGGATTTTGGGCGCACACGCACATGTGCCTGGTGTGTTTCTCGAGCTGCTGGGTCTAGAACTCAAACAACGCAGTTGGCCATGTGGGACCCAGCCGCCTTAACCGCTACCTACTAACTGGCCCAGCCTGCTGAATTCTGAGTTAATGCAGGTCCCCTTTGAGCTCCCCTCCCTGGGGGGATGTCTCATTTTCTAAGACAAGATAAAGCTCACCAAATCAACACTACACAAAGCTTCAGAAGAGACATGTCCCTTTGACTTAAAAACCTTCACGGTGCAGGGACAGCCAGAACCACGGGACTGTTGGCAGGACTGTGCTCAAATCCACATAAACTGGGCTTCCCTCTTTTTTTAAAAAAGGATCCTGTTTCTTTTTTTAAAAAAAGAATTATTTTATTTTACTTTTTATGATAGTATTAATTATTATTTAGTCTGACCAGACAGAGACAGAGAGAGAGAAAGGGAAAGCGAGAGAGCAAGCCGCCAGGTCCAGGACTTGAACCGTAGCTAGCCACGTGGGAGTCCAGCACTTTAACCACTATACCACCTGCCAGCCCCCGAAAAAGTTCTTGTTTCTTTATTTGCCTGCCAAAGGGGGGGTGGTGGTAGGAAATCACCCCCCGGGGAGATGGCCACACCATTATGCCTTCTCTTCCAATCTCCTCTCGGAGTTCCGGACGCACATGTACAGCATGATTTTCAAGCTGCTGGGTCCCAGACTTGAACTGTGCAGCCGGCCATGCCACCTGCTGGCCCTTATGCCTTAATTTTTAAGGAGACTAGGAGAGCAAACTACTTGATTCATCTGAAGGCCAGAAGTGTTTTTTTTTTTTTGGATGACCCAATGAGGGCTCTCATATTCTTAAAAGGTTAGTGGCTAGACAAGACTTTTGGGGGCTTAATGCAAAAACGTGGTCAAAATGTGAAGCTGCCCTTTCAGAGGCAGGGTGGAAGGCTCCTGGCCTCCAAAGGAGAGGATGCCTAAAACCTCTGGGCTGCCAGGACCTGCAGTGACCACGTGTCGGGCCGACGCGCGATCAGCATCCTTCATGGACAGCGGTCGGTGCTCCCTAAGCTCTAACATTTGTTCGTTCACATCCCAAGTATCTTACTGCTTCAGGTGGCACCCAGTGTGACAGGAAAACAGCTCTCCTGCCCATTCCAACCAAGGTGGTACCCCACCGGCAGCGAGGCCGAGCTGCCAACAGTCTGAAAGCCCCCCACAGCCTCCACAACACGGGCGCCACCCGACGGGGACGGACTCGGGAGCGACTGCCCCCTCCGCTCAGCAGTGGAAACGGGGCTGCGCAGCCTTTAGAAATGAGAACTAGAAGAGCCGCTGGATGTAAGTAATCTCCTTCCTCCCACGGCTGCTGGCGCTAACTGTCCTGGATGTCTTTTTTTTTTGTAAGCTGTGTATTATTTTAGGAAGTGCAGATGGGAGCAGCATGAAGCTAGATTATCAATTATGGTCAACTCTCGCTTCTCTTACGGTAAACATTCATCCCGCTCTGGAGATTTCTCCAGGTCTTTTGCCCAATGCTAGAACTACTTCCGACTAGGACGGGCTCAGAAACACTTTAAAATACTAAAATAAAAGTTGTGGCAAAAATCACATTACGATGATCAAATCCTTCTTGTGAACTGAACAGTGGATGTGCTCAGGCTAGGCTGTTTAGCTGCGGTTTTCTAAAAGCCGAACATGGGACTCCAACACAGGGTTACTACAGCACGCGGATGAGAACTCCGTGGGAAGCACAGCGTGGGACACACACACCCACGGGAACTAAGACTGAATGTCATCTCGGTTCGGGAGGGTAGGAGCCGACACCCATCACCACTGGGCTTTTCAGGGTCGTATACACTGGGGCACAACACTGGAGAAGAGAAGGGGGAGAGGGGGAGAGGAAGTTCTGCGCGGAAGTTTTAAAAACCACAAGGAGTGACTTTTAAATTCTAAGCAAGCCTAAAAGACTACATGGGCTGACTCCTATCATCCAGACAGAAAACATTTCTCTGTCACGAAGAGATCTGACCATGGGGAACCAGCAGTTAGTGTAATGGCTATGTGGCTGGACTCCCACGTAGTCGACTGGGGTTCACGTCCCGGACCCGGTGGCTTAAAACTCACACCGGGCGCATGTGCATACGTGCCCAAGATCCCGAGAGGAGAATGGAGGAGAAGGGATTGCGGCGTGGCCATCCCCCCCGGGGGGTGATTTCTCGCTTTCTGTCTCGCTGTCTCTCTGTCTGTCTGGCGAGCGCCCGCGCCCTATAGTGAAAACCTCTCCAAAAAAAAAAAAAAAGTGAGAGACCTGACTATGTAGCAACGCGTCTGCAGGACTGCTGCGAGACGCTCTGAGGGCAGAGACCGGCTCCAGAGCTTGTGAGGAGCAAGGCCTCAAGGGCCTCCCTGTTCACGGGACCGCGTGGGGCACTGCAGAGGCGGAACTCGTGTGGCGATGCCACCCTCTAGGCCTTCCGCAGCCTCAGAGGGGGTGACACTCCCACAGCCTTTGATCCCTCCAGAAGGCTGAGCCCAGAATCAGCAGTAAGGGAGCCCTCACCACACGGGGCAGGTGGGGCGGTGGACACTTGTAAAAACAAAATACCGTCAGTTCATTCACTGTTCCATCCTGTTCCATTTGCTGTGAGAAAAGTCAAGACTCTTGTTTAATGGGCTGCGTTGTTTCTAGAAAGCTACAGAAAATCTAACATAGGTCACACACACACACACACACACACACACACACACAAAGTCCTGGCCCAAAAAGATTGCCTGACCTCACTGGGATTTCCCCAACGTCTGCAATTTATAAACTAAAGCCAAATTTAATTAAAATAAAAATCCATCTCTGCCTTTTTCTACCCTGCACATGGTGGGCTCTGGTGAACGGTGAACGCCAAGGCTAGGCCAGGGACACTCACTGTGCGCGACAGAGCGACACAGGAACCTGTCTCCGTGGAGCCCACCCAGGCCAGCACTAGAAGGAACAGGGAGACCGCGCCGACGAAGCACCCTGCAAGTTGGGCCGTTCCCGTACTTTCTTCGTTTCTCATCTCTTTGGGAAGATGAAGGGTACTGCAACCATGGGCCTAACTAATCCAGCACAAAGGACCGAGACTACACAGCAGCAAGGACAGCCACGGCGGTGACGCTGCGCGGGAGGGAAACGCGCCAATCTCTGCGCATCGGGACCCCAGTGCAGCAGGAAAGAGCGCCAGGCCCATCGGTCCTGGAGTCAGACAAGGCCTCCCTCTGCCAGTTAGGAGAGCAGCAGCGCTGCCTCTCCAGTTAACTGCACTGATCGGACCCATTCACGTCACCTCCCTGACTCAGAGACGCCAACCACAACCAGAACTGGACCTGTGAGGGCAGGGCACTGTCACACCGGCCGGTCACTCCGTCTCCACACTGAGAAACACACGCGTTACTGCTAGCACTGCCGTTCCTTTGCACTCCGTGTCACACAGGTAGAATTTATGTGGAGAATTTATGTAGAAGACGGTTTTTGGATTGAACTTAGCACTAAGTTACAACGATGTCATTCCTGCCTTCCTGTGTACAGAGCCTTGGGACGCTCTAAGTCAGTAAGACGCGGCGTTTGTTTTTAAGCAGGGTGTGGGAACAGCAAGACAGTGCGTGGGCTCAGAGCCCGTGGTGCTGCTTCTCTCCCCTGGGACCTTCACTGTCGCACAGATGTGTACGATGGCTTCCCAAGAAAGCCACTGGCACTGCCTTTGCCTGTGTCAGGGCTGAGAGAGAGGATGCAGACTGAGGAGACAGCAAAACTTCAAGTCCACCACTGATGTCCCCCAAGACGCTGACACTCTATGACAGGACCGCCAGGACAGACACTGACTGTGGTGGGAGGGAAGAGCAAAAGCTTTTCAAAGTTTGCGTATTTATTAGAATTTTTAAATAAAGAAAACTACGATTTAAACTTCACATCTTGGCTATGTTCTGACAAAGGAGATGCCACTGAGAGTACAGCAACCATCTCCTGTCCCGAGCCAGGGATCAATCAGTGTCCCGCTCCCTACTCTCCGCCCTCCCAATTCCAAGACCTTTTTACTTTCCAACTAAACAACACAACCGGCAAACGACGCCAGCAGGAGACCTGTGTCAGAAACAAGGGAGTTTGCAGGGAGCCAGTGCGTTCCAAGGCCGCCTAGGAAATGACGGCCTCCCTCTCACAGCGCCTCTCCGCAGAACGACGCCAGCAGGAGACCTGTGTCAGAAACAAGGGAGTTTGCAGGGAGCCAGTGCGTTCCAAGGCCGCGCTAGGAAATGACGGCCTCCCTCTCACAGCGCTTCTCCGCTTCTCCGCAGAGGGGGCCTCCCCCATCCTGGTGGGAGACCAATTTAGGATTTCTGAGCAGGCTCCACGGGGCCAGAGAAGTGCTGCGCATGCCGAAGACTAGCCAACACCCGGACTTCCCCGCTGTGGACTTCTCAGGACCTCAGTGTGGCTCCCGGCGTGGGGACAGAACTACGCGGCCGCACTTGCCGAGTACAGTTAGGTGCCCCGGAGTGCGAGGGCGACATCCAGCTCAGTGCGGCGTAAGGCATGTACGACAGGAAGAGAGGCCTTGTCGGCACGGAGGAGCATTATGGAAGATTCCAACCAGCGGGCTAGAAACGGCGCTCGACGCTCCAGTTTTTTAGAGAGTAATACCAAAATCCAGTTCAAGCCCTATTGTCAACACGTAGGGCAGAATTCGATCTCTGTCACTGTTTCTCCGGATGGAGGCTGAGGCCGTTTGCTCCTGGCTTGGTCATAGAAAAGAAAATAGGTTTCCTCCTGTTTCTTTCTTGGCATGGAAACACAGCTTGGAGAAGAGAAGGCCATGAGTCCCGGGAGCACGGCGAAGGTAACTAAGCTCTTCCTGTGGCTACGTAACTACAGCCAATGACTGGCGAATAGGGAGGACAGGGAGGTCTGCCTAGCCCCTAGCATCACAAACAAAAGAGGAAATCAACTGTGAGGCTCTCCATTCTAGACAGAACCCAAATTAAAAAACAGAAGCAAAAACAAAACCAAACCAAACCTTAAAAAAACTGAACAAATTCCTCTTTCTAAAAGTCATTTATTTACATATTATATGTCCCGTATATAATGTGTAGATAAATGTTCCCTGGAGTGAAAGTGACCATGCTACTGGACTAAGCGGCACGTTACAGGACAAAGTCTCGAAAGGTCGCCTCTCACACTGGTATTTTTCAATTAAAAAATCATTAAAAATCAAAGAAAAAGGTCTGGCTGGGGCTGGGGTGAGACACACAGGAACATGTGAGGATCCAAGGCAGGGGGAGGCTGGCTGCCTCCCTTCGGGAGGTCGCAGGAGGACGAGGGAGGCGCTCATGCACAGAAGTACTTACACGTCACATATACCCACCCCCACCCCTCGAAAAGAGAAGACAAAGCCCCATCACGTAACACCAAACTGCAACATTATCAACACACCCTTTTTCGGATGCCCATCATGCCTTATTTGAAAGAGGAGGCCTGTGAGGAGGTGAAAAGAGCCAGGGTGAGAGGGAAGAGCTGCGCTTCAGTCCAGGTTCCAATTTCCACGTCTCGTACGGGAAGTCTTCAGTCATCTGATGCCTGACATGGAGCTCTGAGCGGAAACCGAGTACGTGGTGGCCACGACCGGGGTGCCATTGTTGGCAGAGTAGCCTTGCCTCAACGTCTCAAAATACGAGGCCTGCACGGGTTTGTGACACTGCAGCACTTTTATAGCATCTTCTATTTTAAACCATTCCCTCTTCCTTCCTGTGGAGGCACAGTGAAAGAGAAGTTAGTGCAAGAGGGAAGTTTCTGAGCCTAGAACTTCAAGAAGATGTGGAAGAAAAGATTAAAGCAATACTTCTTGACACACTAAAAAAATTTTTTTAAAGTTTTTTTTTTAAAGAATTATTTATTTCATTTTATTTATTCATTCATTTATTTTAAATTTGACCAGAGAGAGACACGGAGAGAGAGAGAGGGAAAGTGAGAAAGCAAGTCACCAGGTCCGGGACTTGAATCATGGTCAGCCATGGGAAGCGTCTGGTACCTTAACCACCACACCACTCGGCCCCTAAAAAGTTTGTTTTAAGGCATGAGCACTGGCCAGAGTAAGAGGCAGAGAAAATGAGAAAGCAACCCTCAAAGGGGATGGCCATGCTGCAGTCCCTTCTCCTCTTGGGATTTTGGGCGGGCACACATTTTGCCCAGTCTGGGAATCGAACCAGGAAGTCAGCCATGTGGGATCCAGCCGCCCAACTACAATGCCAGTGGTGACACTAAAATACATATACATTTTTCCCTTGCTCTCTTTCCTTACAGAAGTAATGAAAGCGCGCTTTGTAGAAAAATGAAGGGCTAAGAGGAACTGTTAAACCCGCCCTCCACAGAGAGCCACTGCCGGGGGTTCCTCTTGACCCTCTGGGCTCGGGGGCCTCCCGCAGCTCGCACAAGCCCAGCAACAGCCCCATCTTCTGCAAAAATCAACTTGGGCACTGGCTTCCAGAATTTCTAGGACAGTTGGCTTGTAATCAGTTATTTCTTTAACTTTTTTTTTTGTAAGAGTAATGTTATCTACATACTAAAAAATACCAAAAAAGGGAAAATAAACTCAGTACAATTGCTATTAATTTTCAATCTATGACTTTTTTCAAGTAATACTTTTAAATCCTTTATTTTTTTCTTATACAAGTAATATCGTGGCTAAAAGTCGGGGAGACGGAGGGAAGCAGGAAGAACACAGTAAGTACCCGCCCCCTTGGAAACCAGGGACACCACTCCCAAGGCCTCAGTGCATTCGCTTTTCTCTCACGCACACTTGGAAAAGAAAGTGTATCTAACCGGCCAGCACTGGGCTCATGCCTTGAGGTGCTCGAAATCCTGACAGGCTCTGCTGAAGTGCCACAGTTAGGGACGAGGCCTCTAAGCCAGCATGTTCCAGACACACCACTGCTCTAACAAGCTACGAGGCCCTGGCTAAGTTTTCCTCACGTATCAAGCAGAGAGAATAGGACTTCTCTTACAAGCCTGTTGTGAGAATTAACATCTAAAGCACCTGAAAAGCACAGCCCTGTCCCTCTTACCTGCAGGGGAAATGTTCGAAGACCTCCCCCACCCCCCTGCGGACTCCAGAAACTGGAGATAGTGTCAGACTCTGCCTACCAGTTGTAGGAAAAGCCACGATGCATTTCTGCACAGAAAAACACGTCATGACTTGGCTACCAGCAGTTAGCGTAATGGCTATGTCGCTGGACTCCCACGTAGTTGACCGCGGTTCGTGTCCCGGACCCAGTGGCTTAAAACTCACGCCGGGCGCGTGTGCGTGCGTGCCCAAGATCCCGAGAGGAGAATGGAGAAGGGATTGCGGCGTGACCATCCCCCCTGGGGGGTGATTTCTCGCTTTCTGTCTCTATGTCTCTCTCTGTCTGTCTGGCGAGCGCACGCGCCCTACAGTGAAAATCTCTCAAAAAAAAAAAAAAAAAAAGAAAAAACACGTCATGACTTTTCTGATGACCCAATATAGTTTTTCCTATACATAGAGACCTACAATAAAGTTCAATTTCTAAATTAGGCACACATTAAGAAATTGTTCACAATAATTAATAATAAAATAGAACAATAAACAATTACAATATACTGTAGTAAGACGTATGTGAACATACACAGTCTCTTTTTCTCTCTCAAACTTTCTTACTGTCCTCACCGCTGTTCAGACTGCAGTTCACCGCAGTAACTGAAACCCTGGATGGAGGGAGACCACAGTTCCTGGCACACAGTATGTGCAGATAAGAGTTTGCTTTTTGATCGTTATGGTTCTTTTTTTTTAAAAAAAAATTTACTTATTTAATTCCATTTGTTATTATTTTTTTTTAATTTGACCAGAGAGAGAGAAAAAGCAAGGAAGTAAGCCAGTAGGTCTGGGACTCAAACCATGGTCGACCATGTGGGAATCCAGCACCTGTAGCCACTAAGTCACTTGCCGGGCCCCTTTTTAATTTTTTTTTTTTTAAGAGGTTTTTGCTAATAGGGCGCATGTGCTCACCAGAAAGACAGAGACAGAGAGACAGAAAGCGAGAAATGTTCCCCCAGGGGGGATGGCCACGCATCCCTTCTCTATTCTCCTCTTAGGATCTTGGGCACACATGCACACGTGCTTGGCGTGAGTTTAAGTCACTGGGTCCGGGACTCGAACCGCGGCCGACTACATGGGAGTCCAGCAACATAGCCATTACGCCAGCTGCTGGTCCCCCCAGTGTGTTTTTCCAGAACAGCTCAGTTGGCCCTGTGGACCACTCGGTTGCCACCTTAACCACCACGCTACTGGCTGACCATGCGTCCGAAGCCATCTCTACATCAAATGTATGATGCTCCCCAGCTGATGAATACAGAGACAGCCTGCACCAGGTCAGCACGGAGTTGCGGGGTGGAGGGGGAAGCTGGTCTCCTTTTCACCAACCGCACTGAGGAGGTGAGTGAGTGGTTCACGGAATACACAGAAATGGACCACCCCCGAGCGGGGAACAAGGCAGCTTTCCCTGTGAGTTGGATCCAGGGCCCCTGGAGCAGCTCCCCCCTCCACCCCTACATGGAGCGCAGCTGAGGCAGCTGGGCCTGCCCTGCCCTCAGGAGGTGTGGTGACTCTGCGCTCCGACTAAGGTGTGCAGGGAGGGCGACGTGGGATGTGCTGACGCTGGAGCAGGCCCGGGTCCTGAAGCTTTCTGGGTACGAGATGGCCGAATTCCAAGTAACCATGAAGTGCGTGTGGGACACACAGTCGGGAAGGTTCCAGCAGGTGGGAGACGACATGCCAGAGTGTGTCAGAGTCGGCAGGAGAATCAGAGGATGCCGCCGACTGATGGGGACTCGGGGCTGGAGGCCTTCGGCATCTTCCGGGTCCCGAGTGGCCCACGCAGCACTGCCCCCACCCTCTGGAGGGACGGCTGTTTACTTTGCTGCCAGTGACGACAGGAGCGTGATGGGCCCTGACTGATTCTGAGAGAATAAAACTCTGCAGGGTCTGCCTGTAGGCAGCCGGGACCTCCCTTAGGAACAGGGCCTTGGGGGTCGGGCTCCTCTGGGAAACCGGGTTCTCTCCTCACCTGTGAGCCAGCCTCCAGCCCTGGCCCCAGGACCATGTGACAGTGGAGCTGTGCAGCTCTGCAGACCGCGAGAGCACCCCAGAGCTGGGGCTCGTCCTCATGGCCTGGTGCCCCTTGCTTGGAAGAGGACTTCTTGAGTTCTCCTGTCCGCCTTTCCTAACCCCACATTTGCTCTCTGTCTCTCTCATGCTCTCTCTCGCTCTCTCACTCACACACTGTCTCTCTCTCTCCACGCCCCACCCTTCCACACGAGGGCTGAGAGTCTGATGGGTGCCAGAAAAATAGGAGGGGGGCCAGCAAGTGGTGTGGTGGTTAAGAGTGCTGGACTCCCACATGGCCGACAATAGTTCGAGTCCCAGACCTGGTGGCTTGCTTTCTCAATCTCTCTCTCTCTGCCCCTCTAGTCAAATTAAAATAAACGAAGTTAAACAAAATAATTCAAGAAAAAAAAGAGACAGGAAGCACCCACTAGGACAGGTGAAGCCACTGCTGGAGTTGGAGAGAGAGTATTCAAAGTGTTCCGTAGCATCCTGATTCTACTGGTAGGTTTTTGCCCAGATTCTTTTATTTGTAAGTATTTAGTGAAAAATAGTAGAAAAGACTTATTTTTAAAAAAAAGAAATCTATGATGCTCAATGGCTGCATTACATCATTAATAGCTAGCAAGGCTCTTTTTAAAATTATTTCCCTGTCAATGCAGCCATTAGTTATTATAAATAATGCTATAATTAAAAAGAAATTAAATTATGATTTGTACTTAATACTATGAATTTTTTTTTTTAAAGAGAGATTTTTGCTATAGAGCATGTGTACTCGCCAGAGAGACAGAAAGCGAGAAATTACCCCGGGGGGGGGATGGCCACACTGCAGTCTGTCCTCCATTCTCCTCTTGGGATCCTGGGCACACACGCAGCGCCCGGCGTGGGCTTTATGCCACTGGTGCAGGACTTGAACTGTAGTCGATGATGTGGGAGTGTGGCGACATAGCCCTACGCCATCGGCTGGTCCCAGTGCTATGATTTTTTTTTAAACCTGGGCTGCATGGTGGTGCACTGGTAAAGGGTGATGCCCTGTACGGGTGACCCAGAGCCCTGGAGACACCGAGTGTCCGAGGTTGTGGGCTGGCAGAGGCTAGCGCGGGACTGTGGCAGAGGGGCCATGCTGGAATGCTGTCTCTCATCTCTTTTTCACTCTTTTGCTCATGGAAGAAATAAACTTAAAAATAAAACTGAAGTAGGGGCCAGCAGGTGGCGTGGTGGTGAAGGCACTGGACTCACACAGTTGACTGCAGTTTGAGTCCCAGACCCAGAGGCTTGAAAATCACACCAGGCACGTGTGCACGCATGCCCCAAATCCCAGCAGGAGAAGGCAGGAGAAGGGACTGCGGCATGGCCATCCCTCCTGGGGGTGACTGCTCACTGTCTGTCTCTCTCCAGTGAGAGCATGTACCCTATAGGAAAAAAACTTAAAAAGAAAAAAACCAAAAAAACTGAAATAAAAAATTTTACCCATTTAAAAATTTTCACCTCCCAGGGAAAGGTCCCTAGACGTAAGGACTACAAAATAAAGTATTTAAGTGTTTAAGGGCTCATGAAATATACTATCCAAATGCTTTTCAGAAAAGGCGTCCTCGATCCTGCCTGTGTGTGAGGAACATCGGTCTCACCACATGCCACCAGCACTGGGACCTTCTCTATCGCTGCCAGTTCCCCAGGTGAAAACTGGACCCTCCTTTTCATTTGCATTTCAGTGATCTATTTTAATGTGGCTCTAATTAGCATATAAGCGTGCTCACGTGTATTATATATACATACACACAGTCTATTTAAAAATAGAGACAGAGACAGAGACAGACAGAGAGAAATCACCCCGCTAGGGAGGATGGCCACGGCAAAACACCTTCTCCTCCATTCTCCTCTCAGGACTGTGGGTATACACACCCAGTGTTAGTTTTAAGTCACTGGGTTAAGCCACATGGCTGACCACAGTTCGAATCCTGGATCTGGTGGCTTGCTTTCTTACTTTCCCTTTTTCCTCTTTGTGGGTCTCTCTCTGGTCAAGTTAAAATAAATGAATGAATAAATTAAGTCATTCTAAAAAAAACAGCTGCTAGAGGGTGCATACACTCGCTGGAGACGGAAAGAGAGAAAGGGAGAAAGCAAGCCCTCTGGGAGGATGGTCACGCTGCAATCCCTTCTCCATCGTCCTGAGGTTTCGGGTCACACGCAAGCACGGCTGGCACACGGGCTGAGTGCTTTCCGAGCCGTAGGCTCCGCCATGGTAACCACTCAGTTAGCCACGGTTCCCAGCTGCCCTCACCACCAAGCCACCGATGTCCGACGACTCAGACTCACGGTCTTCTCAGAAGATCATGAGAAAGAGGCTTATCCCTCATATTGCAGAAGCGTTCATTAGGGTCATTTTTCAGAGGGAGAGCACATGGTAAAAGGCTTGTCTGGGTACCAGCAGAGCATGGGCCGTACAAATTCCCGGCCTAAGTGCGGACTCCCGCCTGCCGGAACGCTCCGGGGCCTCCATCTCCACCTCCTCAGCACAGACTATCAGGGAGGCTGTGCTCAACGTACCCGCAATGAACCCGTTTTAAACCGCCAGAGGGTGCATGCTCACTAGGGGTGGGGGTGGGGATGGGGGCGGAGGGGAAAGGGGGTGGTGGGGAGAAAACATTCCCTTCTCCATTTCTCCATCCTGTCAGGATTTTGTGCACACATGCACACACCCCTGGTAAGGTTTTCAAGCTGCCAGGGCTAGGATTCACACTATGGCTTGCCATGCGGGATCCTTTCCTTTAACTACTTACCAGGCCACAGGGCTGAGCCCTGAGTATATCTTTGTAAAGGGACCTAAATTATTACCAGACACAAAGTCATTATTAAGAGCTGAAGGGCTCTGACATGCCCAGATGAATAGTGTTTGGGAGGCATGGTGGCAAGGCATATATGAACAATAAAGGGAGGGGTTCTGGCAGATGAATTCATCCACCAGACAATCTAGAACAGAAATTCAGTGTTGGGACCAGCAGTTGGCGTAATGGCTATGTTGTTGAAATCCCACGTAGTCGACCGCGGTTCGGAGTCCTGGACCCGGTGGCTTAAACTCACGCCGGGCGCGTGTGCGTGCGTGCCCAAGATCCCGAGAGGAGAATGGAGGAGAGGGATTGCGGCGTGGCCATCCCCCCAGGGGGTGATTTCTCGCTTTCTGTATCTCTGTCTCTGTCTGTCTGGTGAGAGCACGCGCCCTATAGCAAAAACCTCTCCAAAAAAAAAAAAGAAATTCAATTAGTGTTCTATTTTTCTGGAACGTACTTTTCTTTAGAAATAAATAGTTAAACCATCAGCCAACCATTAAGCCACTGCAGCTGTTAGTTACCGAGAGATACACGCAGCAGCATCTGAGAGACCAGACAGCTCCTCAGGAGAGCTGGGTGTCCCTGCAGGGGAATGAGTGACCCAGGGACACCCTGCAACTCTGGGCCAGCTGGGTAACTTCTGGGAGGGGCTCACACCACCAAACCAGCAGCTTTCTCTAACAACGTGAGTGAGCGTCATGGGGATGGAGACCGAGGTCCTGTTTTTTTTTTTTTTTTTTGAGAGGTTTTTGCTATAGGGCATGTGTGCTCACCAGACAGGCAGAGAGAGACAGAGAGACAAAAAGTGAGAAATCACCCCCCATGGGGGATGGCCACGCCTCAATCCCTTCTCCTCCATTCTCCTCTCGGGGTCTTGGGCACACATGCATGTGCACCTGGCCTGAGTTTTAAGCCACTGGGTCTGGGATGCGAACCGCGGTTATGGGAGTCCAACATCCCAACCACGCCACCTGCTGGCCCCTTCTTATTTAATTTTTGAGATTTTTGCTATAGGACACATTTACTCACCAGAGAAACAGAGAGATAGAAAACAAGAAACCACCCCCTGCCCTGGGTGGACGGTCACACTGTAATCCCTTCTCCGTTCTCCTCTCGGGAGTTCGGACATGCACACACATGCACCTGGCGTGAGTTTCAAGCTGTTGGTTCCGGGACTCAAACTGTGTCAACCGCGTGGGAGTCCAGTACCTCACCACACCACCTGCTGCCCCGCCTTGTTTTATTAAACCGTCCTCCTCCTATTTCTTCCCTTTACTCTTCCCAGCTCTCGTGTGTGGCTCTGAGGAACGACCTGGGACATGGCAAGGGCTGGCTGCAGGGGCTCCCCGGAAGCCGTCTGCAGAGACTTACCAATGTTAACAGAGTCTTCCCAGTCTTCCAGCACTTCCGTGACCACCAGCACATAGACGTACGTCCTGTGCTTCCTCTCCTGGTTCTGAAGGACAGACAGAGGACAGGTGACTCAGCTACTGAGAGGAAACACTCGTATACATGCCCAGAGGTTGAAGTACCAAGATTCTTTTTAAGAGATTTTTGCTATATGGTACATGGGCTTGCTGGAGAGACAGAGAGACAGAGACAGAAAGCGAGAAATCACCCCCTAGGGGGATGGCCACATTAAAACCCTTTCTCCTCCATTCTCCTCTTGGGATTTTGGGTACACACGCACACACAGGCAGCGTGAGCTTTTTTTTCAAGCCTCTTATGTCC